GACCCTGCCTGAGAATGAAGCCAATAAAAAGCTATGAGGCAGGATATAAGGGCATGAAACAAAGAGACAGTGGTGATGGATGAACTACAGAAGTAAGCTGGAGGCAGCTGATAATTTAGCTTTTAAATCATGTTTTTTTAAAAAAATGAACCTTGGGGGCTTCCCTGGTGGCGCAGTGGTTGAGAGTCCACCTGCCGATGCAGGGGACGCGGGTTCGTGCCCTGGTCTGGGAAGATCCCACGTGCCGCGGAGCGGCTGGGCCCGTGAGCCATGGCCGCTGAGCCTGCGCGTCCGGAGCCTGTGCTCCGTGGCGGGAGGGGCCACGGTGGTGAGAGGCCCACGTACCGCAAAAAAAAAAAAAAAAAAAAAAGTGAACCTTATCCAAGGTTCTACATCCTCCTCAGAATTTTATCCTGAGGAAATTACTACATAGCTCTTATAATTGTCCCTCGCATCCCCATGGCTACTGCCTCTCATTTCAGGCCACCATCATATCTCAACCAGACTTTTGCAACAGTTTCCTAAATGGTCTACCCATCCCCACTGTCCACCCACTACCTCTTACCCTACATGCCCCCACCCCCCTCAGAGTTACCAAAGTGATTTACTCAAAATCCAGATACAGATCTTCTTTGACTTATGATAGTTACATTCCAATAAATGCATCATAAATTGAAAATATCATTAAGTCAAAAATGGATTTAAGGACTTCCCTGGGGGCACAGTGGTTAAGAATCCACCTGCCAACGCAGGGGACACAGGTTCAAACCCTAGCCCAGGAAGATCCCACATGCCGCGGAGCAACTGAGCCCATGCGCCACAACTACTGAGCCCGCATGCTGCAACTACTGAAGCCCACGTGCCTAGAGCCCACGCTCCACAAGAGAAGCCACCACAAGAAGCCCACTCACCACAACAAAGAGTAGCCCCTGCTCGCCACAACTAGAAAAAGCCCACAGACAGCAACAAAGACCCAACGCAGCCAAAAATAAATAATAATTTTAAAAAGATGTCTGTTCACTTGTTATACTTTATTGCCTTATTTGTCTGTGTGTCTTTCTCTAGAGTTAGACTTCAGCCTTTTGAGGATATGCCCCTCCCTGAGATGAACTTTCTTCCTTTACCTCCTTCATCCCCTCAGCCCATCCTTAACACCTCTTAACTCCACTCAGGTGGATCTATTCTTCACACCCAGGTGTCCTCAGCCCTCCCTCAGGAAAATCTTTGGTTCTCATATTTAGTAAGCCTAGGTGGTAATGAAAGTAAAGCATAGCACCTTCAATCTGTGAGAGAGCTATTATTAATCTTTTCTTTTACCAGAACAGAACAATTACTCTTGTAGAATTTTCTCATATCATTTCCATGGCCCCAGGATATGCCATTTTACATTATAAAAACAATTCCTTTTAACCCTTCAATACCCAGTGTACTGTAACCTGAGTCACTACTAAACAAGGCTGAGAGAGAAGCATTTTCCTAAATGGGTTTATCTGTTTCACACTGAGCAACTGCAGATATGGGACTAAAATTAAAAATGTAAAAGTAATTAATTATTTGAAGCTACATTTAATTCTAGGCTATATATGAATTTTTGACTATAGAAATAACTGACTTTGTTATTTTCTTAATAATAGAGTTTCAAACACCAATTTAAATCAATTACTTCTTCCTCCTGAGTTTTATCAAATTTGTATTGCTTATTTTTTGATAAAAGAAACAGTATTTTTCACAAACATAGAAAACAAACTTATGGTTACCAAAGGGGAAAGTAGGGGCGGGGGGGGGGGGGTGAAAAAAAAACAAAACAAAACTTACGGTTACCAAGGGGGAAAGCAGGGGGGGGGGGAGGGATAAATTGGGAATTTGGGATTAACTGATACACACTACTATATATAAAATAGATAAACAACAATGACCTACTGTATAGCACAGGGAACTATACCCAATATTTTGTAATACTCTATAAAGGAAAAGAAATGTGAAAAAGAATACATATATAACTGAATCACTGTGCTGTACACCTGAAACTAACACAATATTGTAAATTAACTATCATTTAAAAAAATGATTAAAAAAAGGAAGTTTGGGGGGTCAGGTTCGTTGAGATGTAATTTATATACTGCAAAATTCACATTTAGGTGTACAGTTCTGTGAAAGATGACAATGAATACAATTCTGTAACTACTACCACAATCAAGATAAAGAATATTTCCCTTATTTCAAAATGTTCCCTTATGCTCTTTTACCATTGATCTTCTCTCCCTCCAAGCCCCCTATCAACCACTAATTGGTTTCTGTCCCTATAATTTTGCTTTTTCCAAAAGGTCATATAAATGAAATCACATAGCTTGTAGCGTTTTGATTCTTTTATCACTCAGCATAATTATTCTGAGATTTATTCATCTTGCTGCATGTTCTTCAGTAATTCCTTTCTTTTTGTTGAGTAGTATTCCATTGTATGGCTGTAACAGAATTTCTTCATCCATTCTCCTATAGATGGACACTTTGACTGTTTTCAGTTTTTAGTGACTATGAATAAAGATGATATTTGCACACAGGTTTTCGTGTGGACATATGCCTGTATTTCTCCTTGGTAAATACTTAAGAGTGGGATTACTGAGTTTTATGGTAAGTGAATGTTTACAAGCAACTGCCAAACTGTTTTCCACAGTTGCTCTACCATTTTGCATTTCCACCAGCAATCTACAAGAGTTCCAATTGTGCTATATCCTTGCTACATTTGTCTGTTTTTTCAATCTGATCATTTTAATAGGCGCATAGTGGTAGAAGTGTCATGTGACAACTTCCAGGAACCTCCCTTAAAAGATGGTTTGCCTGTGCCCTTTGTTCCCTTTCTTCTTTGTCCCTTCCTCCTACCTGATACACAGCTAAAGAAGCCACCTTAATCCATGAGTTAACCTTGACAACGAAGCCATGCTCAGAGGAGCAATAAGACAGAAGCAGGAACTTCCCTGGTGGTTCAGTGGTTGGGACTCCACGCTTCCACTGTCGGGAGCCTGGGTTTGATCCCTGGTCGGGGAACTAGGATCCTGCAAGCCCCGTGGCCAAAAAAAAAAAGACAGAAGCAGCCTGAGTTCCTGAGAATTTTGCCAACCTTTGGATTTTTAGATGAAAGAAATAAATTTCTGTCTTATTGTGGTAGATTAAACAATTACCCCTAATTCTTCACTCCTTATACCCACATCCTTTCCATGGCCTCATCATGGGCAGAGGGTATTCTCCACCCTCTGACTGTGGGCTCAGCATGTGATTTCCTCGTAGGTAGAAACAACAGTGTGCTGGTTCTGAGACTGGGCCTTATGGGGCCTGCTTGCTACTTTGTGCCTCTTCTTTTACCAGAAGAATAGTCCTGGTTAGCCTGGCCCCCACCCCAATCCAAGGATGAAGGAGGCCATCCCAGTGAAACCACAGACCTCAGTGAGGGGCAGAGTTGCCTCAGCTGCCACAACCTGAGAACTATCCAGTCAAGTTCAGCCTAGATCAGCCAAACCACAGGCAACAACTGTAGAGGGTTACTGATTGAAGCCAGTGAGTTTGGCATGGCGTGTTATTTAGGAATACCTAATTGATACACTTATTCAAGCTACTGTCATTTTTGCCTCCCTATGATTCAGAGCCAAGCCAAATCCTAATTAATTCAGATACAAAGGAGTATAAGATAAAGTCAAGGTCTTCCAGGAGTGTGCAATCAAAAAGGAAAATAGGCAATCCCTAACAAAATACCAGTGGCAGTTTTCACAGAACTAGAACAATTTGTAAAATTTGTATGGAAACACAAGAGACTCCAAATTGCCAAAGCAATCTTGAGAAAGAACAGAGCTGGATGTACCACACTTCCTGACTTCAGACTATACCAAAGCTACAGTAATCAAAACAGTATGGTACTGGCACAAAAACAGACACATAGATCAATGGAACAGAATAGAGAATCCAGAAATAAACACACACACTTACAGTCAGTTAATCTACAACACAGGAGGTAAGAATATACAGTGGGGAAAAGACAGTCTATTCAATCAGTGGTGCTGGGAAAACTGGACAGCTACCTGTAAAAGAATGAAATTAGAACATTCTCTAATACCTTATACAGAAATAAATTCAAAATGGAGTAAAGACCTAAGTGTAAGACCTAAAACCATAAAGAAAACAGAGACAGAACACTTTTTGAAATAAATTGTAGCAATTTTTTTTGATCTATCTCCTAAGGCAAAGGAAACAAGAGCAAAAATAAACAAATGAGACCTAGTTATACTTAAAAGCTTTTGCACAGCAAAGGAATCCATCAACAAAAAGACAACCTACTGAATGGGAGAAAATATTTGTAAATGATGTGACTGATAAGGGGTTAATATCCAAAATATATAAACAGCTCATACAACTGTATCAAAAAAACCCAGAGAGCCATATCACTACCGGCGTTCGTTAGTGGCTGCATAAACCTGGGAAGTTTTGTCTTTAAAATCCGTGATTCTCCTGAGACTTGTTAAACTAAAAGAAGTCCCCTCAACAAACACCTGAAATGTTTGTTCTATCCTGGCAGGATAGAACAGGGTAGAACTCCATTTCCCATCACTACCTTGCTCCCAGGATTGGCATGAGTCAGGCCCAGATACTTGGGGCCTGATCCTGGTGTTTGATAGTAATTTTCCTATCCTGGACATCCTCAGACAAGCCCATCGAAGACAGTACTTGGTGAGTTCCATGATTCAGGACCCTATGGCTAGACTGCACCAGAGACCTCATCGGCCCATCCTTGGCTAGGAACCTGGCATCATCTGCAGCAGGAGCTCTGGAGCCAACTGTCCAGGCACCATGAGCAGAAATGACAACTGCCCGTGCCTCACAGGTGCCCTGTGAGGTCACCATTTGGTTTTTGCGAACCTTGGTGGAGTAGGGGAAGCCATCCCTGTGCCTACACTTTGGGGCATCCCAGAGTGGCTGGAACACTCCCAGCTGGGACAGCTAGGAAGGCGCCTCGGCTACACTTGCTGGCCACAGCCTACTCTGTGAAACCTCCGTCTAAACCACGCTGACAGCCTTCCCTTGGTTCCATTTAGACGTGGAGAGAAAGCATCCTTGTCTTTGATCCTGTCCTCTGTTCCTCTGTATATTCTATGATCGGCCAGCAGCATTTCTTTGTGCAGGACAAATTTTACCAATGATTTCTTGGAAACAATTGGGGGACCCTGTCTCAGTCCATTCTGGGTGCTATAACAAAATAACACAGACTGGGTACCTTATAAACAACTGACATTTATTTCTCACAGTTCTGGAGGCTGGAAGTGTGAGATCAGGGTGCCAGCATGGTGTGGGAGGGCCCTGTAATGGGTCAGGTCGCAGAATTCTCACTGTATCTCACGTGGTAGGAGGGGCTGGGAGCTCTCCGGGAATCTCTTCTATGAACACTAATTATCATCTTGATAGCTCCACCCTCACAACTTAATTACCTGCCAAAGGCCCCACCTCCTAATACCATCACTTTTAGGGCTCAGGATTTCAACATATGAGTTTTGGGGGAACACAAACATTCAGACCATAGCAGTCCATCTCTTTCTTGTTCTTGTCAACAAGTTCTCTTCAGCACTTATGAATCCTTGTAATCTCATTCCAGGGAGGGGTGGGCCTGGAATTAGAAGCTTTGGCCCTTTAGAGATTCAAAGTGAAGAAGACGACAGAGTTAAAAAGGAAAAACCATGAGAGGAAAATAAGATTTCATACTGAGGTATAGTTAAGATAAAGTAAAATTCATTCCTTTAGGGGCTTCCCTGGTGGCACAGTGGTTGAGAGTCCGCCTGCCGATTCTAGGGGACACGGGTTCGTGCCCCAGTCCAGGAAGATCCCACATGCTGCGGAGCAGCTGGGCCTGTGAGCCATGTCCACTGAGCCTGCGCGTCCGGAGCCTGCGCGTCCAGAGCCTGTGCTCCGCAACGTGAGAGGCCACAACAGTGAGAGGCCCGCGTACCGCAAAAAAAAAAAATTCATTCCTTTAAAATATACAGATTAATGTATTTTGACAGATGTATATAGTTGTGCTATTACAACTGCAATTAAGATATAGAAGAGTGCCATAACCCCCCAATTTTTCCTCCTCTTTGGAATCAGTTCCCTTTCCCTATCCTCAGCCCCTGGTAACCATTGATCCGATTTCTGTCCCCTTTGCCTTTTCCAGACTGTCACACCAACAGAATCATGCAGTATATAGCCTTTAGTGTCTGGCTTATTCCACTTAGCATATGCTTTTGAGATGAGTCCATGTTGCTGCTTGTATCATTAGTTATTCCTTTTTACTGCTGAGTAGCATTCCATGGTATGGGTATCCCGTCGATTTATTTATCTATTCACCAGTTGATGGACATTTGGGTTTTTTCCAGTTTGGGGCTATTTTGAATAAAGTTGCTATGAACATTTGCATACAAAAAAAAAAAAAACCTAAACAACCTGACTTTAAAATGGGCAGAAGACCCAAATAGACATTTTTTCCAAAGAAGACATACAGATGGCCGACACATGAAAAGATACTCAACATTGCTAACCATCAGGGTAATGCAAATTGAAACCACAATGAGCTATCACCTCACGCCTGTCAGAATGCCTATCATCAAAAAGACCACAAATAACAAACCTTGGTGAGGATATGAAGAAAAGGGAACCTTTGTACACTGTTGGCGGGAATGTAAACTGGTGCAGCCATTATGGAAAACAGTATGGATATGCTCAAAAAATTAAAAATAGAACTACCATATGATCCATCAATTCCAGTCCTGGGTATGTATATCCAAAGAAAATGAATATACTAATTCAAAAAGATACATGCACCCCAAAAAGATACATACAGCATTATTTACAACAGCTAAGACATGGAAGAAACCTAAGTGTCCATCAACAGATGAATGGATAAAGAAGATGTGGTGCATATATATACAGCACTCAGCCATAAAAAAGGATGAAATTTTGCCATTTGCAGCAACATGGATGGGTATTATGCTTAGTGAAATAAGTCAGACAGAGAAAGACAAATACTGTATATTATCATTTATATGTGGAATCTGAAAAGTACAAACTAGTGAATTTAATAAAACATACAGATTCACAGATACAGAGAACTAGTGATTACTGGTGGGGAGAGGGAAGGGAGGAGGGGTACAATAGGGGTAGGAGATTAAGAGGTACAAACTACTAGGTATAAAATAAATAAGATACAAGGAAATATTGTACAGCACAGGGAATATAGCAAACATTTTACAATAATTTTAAATGGAGTATAATCTATAAAAGCTTTGAATCACTATGTTATATACCTGAAACTAATATGGTAAATCAACTATACCTCAATAAAAACTGCTAACTGAAAAAAAAAGGGAAAATAGCAGTCAAGTTAATTTAATGAGGAAAGTCTTTTTTTAAAAGGCTGCTTTAACAACTACATATACCTATATAAAAAAAAAATTTGATCCATAAGTCATTCCATACACAAAAATTAACGAGATGGCCAGTATACCTGAGACAGGCTAGGACCTGGGCGCCTTTGCTGCAGTGCTTGCACCTGGGTACACGTGGAGCAACAAAATACAAGGTAATTATGTGGGAATAAAAATAACTGCATGCCTGTGCAGTTAGGGCAAATTCTGGACAAAAGATTGAAAGAGACCCAAAAACCCAACTGCTACTTTTCAAGAGCTTGGAGCAAAACACGGGGTCAGCAGCAAAAGCACGGTACTTACTGCACATGCCCCCTGCACACACCACCACCTAAGGGGTGGGCAACCCCCCTGGACACACCCCTACCCTCACCGCATATAAGGAACAAGCTTGCCCCCGCCCTCAGGGAGCAAGCAAGGGAACCTATTGTTTGATCTCCCTCCCCGCTGCTGCAGCAGGGGTCCCAATAAAGCCTTGTCTGAATTTCCTGTGTGGCCTCTGATCAATTTCTATTGACTAAGGAGGCAAAGAACCCTGGTCAGTAACATACCTAACCGTAAAACCCAGTGTTGAAATAAATTTCTAGGCCCAAGATGGAGTGGCTCCTCCCCAGAGTGCCAAGTCAGCAAACCAAAGCTGAGATAATTTTTGTGTCCCTGTAAATGCTCTGCTTGAGCAGAAACGCAGTATATCAAGTCAGCCAACCCCCAACTCCATGCCACCTCTGGGCTCTATCCGTATTTCCTTGTTCCTTCTCACCCCCAACAAGGTCGACTAAGTGGTCCCAGCCAATCAGATGTTTTCTATTTTTCTCTTCCTTGTTCCTTATTCTTTATTCTATAAACGTTTTCTGCCTTTCACCCCATTTTGCAGTTCTCCAAAAGGGGACTGTCCTCTTCACGAGATGTTACAGTTTGTATTACCTAAATTATTTTCTTTAAACTTTTAACACCAGAAACATAAAGCACAAAGGCTATATTTCCTAATTAAACTGATTGCCCCCAATGCTACTGTAATAAAAAATAATTCCTATAACTCACTAAGTACTTATGTGCCAGACACTCACTGAAGAACACTTTTGCCTGCATCATTTTGTTTCATCCTCAAAAACAAATGCCATAATTCCGTATTCCCCTCCATATTCGTAGGGGATAGCTATGTTTTTATCTAACATTTGTTCCCCTTGGTTTGGCAATGTCACCAGAGTTTCCTTAGAAGACCCACTTCTCCCTCATACTTACTCCTTGTGTTTTCTCTGGCTCTAGCCTCAGACTCCGGGTCCCAGGTTGGACATTTGAAGTCTTGGTGACCTTCCCAGATTCCTAGTGGTGCCCTTCATCTTGCTTTGGCGTTCTCTTCTCATCTAATGCGTGGTTCCTAAAGTTTACCATGGGTTAGGATCACCTGGAGAGCTTGTTATAGAGATTCTTAGACCCCACCCCCAGAGATTCTGATTGGTAGTTCTGGGGTAGGGCTCTTCAATTTTCATTTCCAACAAGCTCCCAGCTGATGCTCCTGGTCTTAGGAGCTGAGAGTTTGTTAAAAATGCAGATTCTGAGCCCTACCCCAGACCTACTGAATCAGACTCTCTGAGATTAAGACCCAGAAATCTGAGTTCTAGTAAAATCTCCAAATGAGTCTTATGCACGCCAGAGTTTGAGATCCACTGTTCCATTAAGTGCTTTTGAATGCTGATTTCATATTAGAATCACTTGGGGAGCTTTTAAAACATTCAGAAGCCCAGGAACCTCCCTTAGAGATTCTCATTTGATTTTCTGAAAAGTCTCATGAGAAAAAAATTTGCAATCAAGAGATGAGAAAGACTGCTCTGAATTGTGTTGTCCTTAGGAAGGAAGGTAGGACCCAGGCACGTACCTGCAGAAGTTAGCAGTGCAGGGAAAAAGAGAGAATGGGGCCAAGGGAACAAACATTTGTTTTCTTGGATCATTAAGTAGCCTTCGAAAATACGAGTTTTATTGGCTGCATGGTATTCCATTATAAGCTGTGCACTATTTATCGAACATATACTAAAGGCCAGACACTATCTTATTTATAATCCATATTTACCCTATTTTACCCATTAAAACAACAGGCCAACAGAAGCCCCATTTGATTGGACCTAGAACTGCCTGACTCCCAAACCCAAGTTCTTTTTTACGCCAGAGGTTCTCAATCTGGCTGCACATTAGAAACACGTGAGGAACATTTAATTTACACAAATGCTTGGATCTCTCACCAGACTAAAGGAATCTAATTCTCTCGGGTGGGATTTGGACATCTTTCATTGTTTTTACTACTCCCCATGATTCTGATGCACAGTCAGAGCTAAGAACCACTGTCCCACAGCATTCTGCTTCTCGTACTGATTGTGTATATACATATTTCTGAATTCCCTTTTCCTTTTCCAGTTTTAGTGAAGTCACTTTCTTCTGCTCCTTTCGTTACTTCTCCAAAGTCACCCCCAAAATCTCAGATGGTCCAGAGTGTGTTTAGCCAGAACATGGTAGGGACCATGTAACAATACATGATGAAAGGACCTTACATCCAAAGAGACTAAAGTACTTTCTCACTGCAGTGAGAAATAATGAGGGATGGTACAAAATTGTCTTTTCAGGATGTCAGAGCAGAGTGTGTTTCAGTGCAAAGGATAATGACAGAGTAGGAAGGACACTGAATCAAAGTGCACACACTCAATGCCCCCCATACACATACATTGTCACTTTAGAATAATTCATAACAGAGTGATGGGGAAAGTAGTCAATAACTTTTAGAGGTATATGAAATTAACA